ATGTTTAATAAGAAATATTTATATTAAAATTTTATTTCTCGAAAGAAAATGCCATATAATTATGCTTCGAAATATGAGAGAGAGCAAATTTAGTTTCTCTCTGTGTATTAGTGCCATTAAATATTTATGAACAAAATTTTTGTTTCAACCTATATCACATTAGTTGAACAGACAGACATTTGTTGTACGAAGAACATGTAACTTTGCAACATAACTTAATAAGACTTTTGGTTGCCTAATAGGATTGTGTGTATGGAGCTTTATTTGTAGCAAATTATTATTTTAGGGAGAAAAAAAGTAAATAAAATAAAAATTAAATAAATGGAGAAAATAATTAAGAGAAACCTTAGAAATATTCCGTGCAACAAAAAAGTAAGATATTAAATGATATTTCATTATGTGATCCTAAAAGTATGCACTGAATATTTTAATAATAATGATAAGTATTGCCTACTTTCAGGCAGCACATTTCGTATGAATCTCTTGTATTTCCCACAATAATAACTAGGAAAATAACTAAAAAATCTTAGAAATATGCAGTCATTTAATTATGAGATCCTAAAAGTATGCACTGATTTGTTGATAAAAACAAAAAGTAATGGCTGAATGCATGCACCACATTTTCTTTGAATCTCTTTTATTTAACAGAAAAATATCTATGAGATACCCAAAAAAATTTTTCTCCAGAAAAATCTTAGAAATATGCAGATATTTAACCCTTTTTGGCCCAATGTTGCCCACAGGCAACAAAATGTTTTAGAGCGTGTATTTAATATTCAGCTAGTAGATATATATTCTTAGGTTTTTATACGTCAAGACCTTATTATGGACGACGCATGTCAAAAGAAAAATCTAAAAAATTCAAATTTTTGGTAAAGTTATGAGCTTTTCAATATAAAGAAGAGAGAAAAAATGTGTACAGTACTAATTTGTGTTTACAGTCCAAATTATTTAAATCACTTCGAATTTCCAATGTAGGAGTTCTGCCATCAAAATTATTTTTGATTCTTGTAAAACAGAATATAGAGAATAATTTAAACGATTTTTTCCTCGATTTTTTATTTGGGTTTCTTGATATTAGGCTTTTATTTTTCAGAAAGAATGTACTGTATCTCCCGAATGCAAGGATGTAGCGATGTCAAATTTTGTACATATCCTATCTAGGATAGTTGCATTAAATCTGTGAACAGAAAATTGTTCTCTGATTACGGAAAAAATTCGGGGCTCAAAGGGTTATTTTTTTTCAGAAGGTGATCCTGAAAGTATGCAGCGATTTTTTATAATAACAAATATTTCCTAAAAATATGCACCAAACTCCTTAAACCGCTTCTTATTGCCACAATTTAATGTGTTTTCAATTAAATTTTTCAATTCAACCTTTAATTACCCTCCTTTCTCCTCTATAATGAACTTAACAACATTTGAATATTGTCCTTCATACATTGTATTGATTTGTGGTGTATGTCTGTATGTTTTGTTTATTAACAAAACTATGATAATGACTAGATATGATATATGATCACACACATTTTTTGCATATAACACCGAAGACTGGGTGCAGAGGAAGGGGTTTCAGAAGTTGACAACTGGATGGTTTGTGTTTTATAGTTCCTATAGTTCGTTCGATTTACTGCCAGGCTTTGTTGACAGTTCTTGCAGCAGCATGCAATAATGTTGTTGTTTGACGACAACTAAGCAAGATGATGACGTGGTGATTACATGAGGTGGCTATTGAGGTTGTTGTCTTGACTCGCAGTAGATGGAAAAAAAACAACCTGGCAAACAATAGAGCAAAAAAATCGAATTGCCTATACAAGTGCAAAGTCATTGTTTCGGCATTATCATGAAAGGTATGGAGAGTGGTGGCGAGGTGAGGGTAACAGCAACATTTTTACCTTTACATACCGCCTCCAAAAAACCATCAAAAGAGGAAGCGGGATGTTTTCTTTTTCTATGTGCAACATTGTATGATGACTAGGACAGCCGGGCATAGATATTAACTCTCTGGAATTGAATGTTGTGTCAGGTTTTTGTGTACACTTTTTTGTTGTTTGTTGTTTGTCACACAAAACTTTGGAAAGAAGCAAAGATGAACATGTCGATGCAAAACCTACATTCGCTCATTCTAAAGAAGGACAACAGCCAACAAAACAAAAACTCCATCAATTTGCGGCGTCTAAGTCTTGGCATGTTACTCCTGGTCATGCATACAATGCAATGCAATAAGATTTGTGGGAGTTGATTGCCAAACATTGTTGGCCAAGGTTTTTTTGTTGGTTTTTCCTTGGGTATATACATACACGATGAAATGTTGATGTTGTCCTCGATACCTATGAATGCATCATCATCATCAGATGATGCTGATGATTTATGTTCAGCATAATGATGTGAAACAATGAAATGTTTGACACAGCACAATAGCTGGTGGTGTATGTTTTGCATTTTTTCGGTTAGATCAATATCCATTGAGACAGGAGACCTGTTAAGACAATTTAAGTGGAGTTTGCGGAGTTAATAGTTTGAAGAAGTGGGGGGCTGGAAGCTTAAGGGTTTTAAGAGGTGATCTCAGGGGAATGGAATATAGACAGTTTTTTTTTGGGGTATGGGTTCTATATATCAGTATGGTGTAGAATCTAAAATGTCATGAAAGTTCCCGCAAAAAATTAAGAATTCTATGGGTATGGGTCCTATACCTTAGTGTGGTATAAGATATAAAAATTAATGAAAGTCTCTGCAAAAAATAAAAATTCTTGTTATTAAAGCTCTACTGGGCCTTGAGATTCTTCCAGTCGTTTTTTTTTCTCACGAAGTATTTTTTCCAAATAAATATTTCAATTTCTTTACCAATTACCTACCACCCACTAGCTGTGTTTTTGTAGACCACTGTTTATTTCCTTTAGTTTATAAAAAAACACACAACACTTCCGCCTGTCATTTAAGTGTCAATTTGTTTAGCACTTGAAACTCTTTAAGTAATACAGCAACAACAACAGCAGCGAAAAGTGGGAAATTTAAGAACACTTTTCAACGCATTTATCGGCAATTACACAATGGCCTTAAAGTGGTTTTCTTAAATTTCCCAAAATTTAAACAAATTTCATTGTTGTTGTATTATTGTTTATACATTTTTTCAATGGCTTGTTAACATGGAGATTTGTGTTGTTGTCTTCTTTTCTCTGTTTTGTAAATAATTTTATTTAAGGAAAATAAATTCCCCAGCTGCCTTCAGGTATCTGAGAGTTCTGTTCTACATTTTCTCATGATGCTCACTTAGTAAGCGATTCTGTTTTATATTTCTATTTCCATGCTAGTTTATCATTCTGTTGTTGTTGCTGTTTTTTTTTTTATTTCCTCGCTGAACTAGAATTGTACAGAAATAAAAAAAAACTATTTAGTTTTTTTCCGCTTATGGCCAATTGCTGACCTGGTCTTCTTTTCTGGTGTATGTAAATTTTTCTAATCAGCCATAGGGCCAATATGCAAAGTAGTACTTGGCTGTTTGTGATAATAATAAATTGGCCAAGCATTGTAGGTTATGTATGGCTTGTTTCTCTTGGCACGAACAAAACTTTTGCACATAATTTCGAATGTGAAATTTATGGCATTGTTAAAAATATTTAAAATGAAAACTATAATTTACTTAAGTGTAGTTTCTTTTTCCCTTTGATTGTTTGTGTGTGTTTTTTAGAGCAGCAACATCTTAAGGGCAGTTGAGAGATTTTATGGCAATTCTTGTTAGAAAAATTTTAAAAAATTAAATTTTTTTGTAGTTTGAGGAAGGAGGGGGAAATAAATTTCGAGTTTAAGTAATAGAGGAGATTACTTTTTATTATATTGACCTTGATAAGTTATGGGAATATTTAAAAAGTCCACCTTTACTCAATGACTCCTTGTGTTAATTTCATCAATCACTGTCCTTTTCTTTCATCTAAGAATATGATTAGTTTGTTGTAGCTTGCCCTAGATAATGTTTCTGCCATCTATCGTTGCCTAGAAACAACACCTCCTTGAATGTGCACTGCAATGGTTGTAAGCTTTGCTTATTTAGTGTTACCATCTAAGAATATGATTAGTCGGTTGTAGCTTGTCCTAGATAATAACTCTGCCATTTATCGTCCTCCTCCTTGAATGTGCAGTTCTTTCCAATTTCACCTGTGTGGCGATATCTTCTGCCATAATTATAGTCATGGGTTGATGTTGATGGCGAATTTGTTAATAAGTAATTGGCCTGCCATCTATCATTACCTAGATACAACGTCTCCTTGGTAATTTAGTGATTTAAATTACCATTGGGCGGCTCTAACACGGAGCATTCCTATTGATTCCGTAGTTGGTTATAAAGATGTCAGGTGATATGCATTTCATCTAGAGTCGGAATTGAGAATTTTGTTATCCTTCGCTGAAATTTGAACGAGGAATTTATTGCTGTTGTAGCAAATGCTAAGTAATAATTCTGCCATCTACCGATGCATAGAAACAACTCCTCCTTGCATTTTGTGCATTGGTTGGAATCCTTGATTATGTAGTATTACCATTTTCCGTCGGGTGGCGCTATTGCCTGTGCTTTTTATTGATATTGATGAAGAGTTTGGTTATTAAAATGTCAGGGGGCCTATGATGATTTTTAACTGGAGGTGGATGCAATCCTATTTTCACTAAATATTTGAAAACCACTTTGAAAGCATTTTTCCTCCTCCGCTGGGATTTGAATAAAGAAAACAATTGGTTTATCATCAGGCAATTTATACACTACCCCTTCCCATATTTGTCAGCATACCCCTTTTGAAAATCCATTAGATTTCTATATCTCTTTCCATTTAATATTCCTTTGGCTTTCTATTCCATAAATTACAAAGAGGAACCATTCTAAACCCTACTCCTTCTTCTCCTCCTGGCTGCCGAAAAAGTAATTTCAGACCAATGCCATTGCGCTCGACTCGACACAAAAAATTGATAGCTTCATCTATCCGTTTTCAATAAATTTTCTCCGACTGTGGAGAATGAACACAAAATTTAATTTCCGTTTTAAAGAGGAGCCAAGACAACATAAACAACAAATAAAACACCCCGAAAGAGGTAATGATGATAATGACTTGCAGGCAGGACAATATAAGGTAAATGAACAAATGTAACTCTCTCTCTAATGGATGACTTCTCTACGACTAGAAAAATCAAAAGGACATTCGTTTAGGATATACTCTCTGTAGTAATTACATTTTTTTTAAGTTAAAAATACGAAGAGGATAATGTGTCCTTAGAAATAAATTTGCGATTTAATTTTAAATCCCAAAAAAAGAAAAAAGTTCGTTAAAATAATGGTAAGGAGGGAGATTACCGAAGCCAGCAAGGTGTTTTGATTTCCTATTCACGTCATTATTATAAAAAAAATTAAATACAAAATCAATATATCAGAAAACCACCAATTGTTTGGGCGCCAAACCTTAATCTTGGCTAAGAAGAATAAAAGAAGAGCAAAACCAAATCGCCACCCTCTGTGAAATTTATTTTTCTGTACAGATTCATTAACATCACTTTTACGGTGATTAAACACAATTGAACCTTTATTTTCAGAAGAAGAAAAAAACCAAACATAGTTACTGATAAGTGAAGCAGAAACACTATGGGAAGCAGAACCATGGATACTTTGTATATTCTTCTAGTCCATTTTCTATCACCAAAGTCTATGAACTTCCAGCCAGTAACCAACCTGTGGCCTCCTTTGCTTTTTTAGCTATAAAATAAAAACAAATTATCATAAATATCAAAAAGTAATCCAATAATTTTCAATATTTAATACAAGCCAGAAAAAAAGAACTCGAGAAAAAGCAACAACAACATAGCTACAAAATGTTAAAGAGGATTCCTCCAGCATCCAGCAAATACCCCACAGCTCTCATCTGGCAAAAGGACATAACAATAGAATAGAGTTCGTTACAAAAAAACAAAATCTGCCAATAACGATAATGATGATGATTTTCATTTGCCTATAACCCATGATGGCCAGCCATTTGCCATGATAGTCAAGGCTACAAACAATGTCTAGCATGAAATGTTTATAATGACAATTACATTGTTACAATTTTCAATGTCCCCTAACAGAAACAGCAACAAAAAATCGAACAACACTCACCCTCTGTTTACCTATCTACCTACCTTAGATTTCCCCTCACATTCTCTGGTGGGTTCTTGGCGGCTTTCTTTGATTATTTTTGGGAGGGGTGGAATTTTTGTTCTCGTGAGAAAAAAATTAAAGCACTTTACCCAAGAAACCATAACAAATCCGTAATCTTAAATTTGTACTAATTTTGGTTTTATTTTATCCAAGAAACCATAACAAATCCGTAATTTTAAATTTTCACTAATTTCATTCTTATTTCTTCTTCTTATTTTTAGCTCAAAATCCCCGCATTATTGAACATCCCAAGGATATGGTTGTACCAAAAAATGATCCATTTACATTTAATTGTAAAGCTGAGGGTACACCCACACCATCGATACAATGGTTTAAAGATGGCCATGAACTGAAAATGGACTCGGGTTCGCATCGCATTGTTATGCCAGCTGGTGATTTATTTTTTCTAAAGGTAAGTTTTAAAAAAAAATAGATAAAATTTATAAAATTAAAAACTATATAAAATTTTGAAAATAGCGCCCAACGTGGGGCCTCTTGTGATTTTATATTCAATTTACCAAAATGGGTTCATGAATTTATTACACTAATATTTGGGCGATTGGACAAAACTATGTCATAAATAGAGGTGACGATTAATTGGCGCCCAATGTGGGACCTTGGAGTTTTAAATTTTATAAAAAATTATCTAATGATAATCTCGAATAAAATAAACATTTGAAAATGGCGCCCAACGTGGTGCTTTTGATATTTTATATTGCATGTGTAAATCCAAATGTGTACATTGTACATTTTTTCACTAATAGTAGTAATTACGATAATTTTACAGAAATATCCTATAATTAAAGCCGAGAAAAAAATGGCGCCCAATGTGGGGCCTTGACTTTTTTACGATTATTTTATTGATTAAAGAGGGACCAATGAAAGAAGAATAAATTTTGTACAATTTATTTTTTGAAATATTTTTTTTATAATAAAAAGTTATAATGGCGCCCAACATGTGCGCTAGATCCATAGTGTACTATTGAAAAACTGACAAAAAAATTAGAATATTTTTTATAAATCATTTCTTATTATTTTATAATAAATGTGGTTTCTTAATGACAATGGCGCCCAACTAAAATATTTGTTTTTGCTAAAATTCCATTAAAAATCCCAGCCACTAACACTTTAGTTATTGATAAATTATTCTCAAACATTTTATTTATTTAAAGTTTAACAATTTAACTATTTGACAAATAGTTTTTTAGCTATTAAATATCCGTTTCCCCCTTCTCATCACACTCCTCTCCCTTACACTAAATGTTCCATTAATAAAATATCAATTAGCAAACTATTTGTTCATCATTGTTTAACAATTTGCAAAGAAAATGTATTTCAATACCGCCAGTTTTTCAGTTTTGTTTTCTTTTTTTTCATTGGAAAAGTGGTGGTCAAAGCAAAAAATAAAGCGGCTCTCCACATAAAATACCATTCAAATGAAATGAAAAGAACATATTTAACAGATGTTTTTGCCAAGCTGTTGCCGTCGACGGTACTACAAAAAAAAAAAAAAAAAAAAAAAAAAACAACGCCGCCGACAATTCACATAAAATATGTAAATTGCAATTATATGGCATTTATATTTATAAATAAAAATTTTTAAATAAACACCAACAACTGCAAAAAAACACACACACACAGATGTAAGGACATACATTTGAACGCATACAGACTCAAAGTCCTGTGTGTGCTGGCCACAAATTATTAACACATGACAGAAAATGAAATATATATTTTTTTAATTCTTTTACAATTATGAATATGACTATACAAATAGTGAATAGGTTTGTTGGCGTATTAAAAATAACTGGGAATTTTTTGTGTATGCCTCTGTTTTTTGTTTGTTATCAATAATGTCCTTTGAATGATTTCCAAATGCGATTGAATTTCCGGTTTCCTCTTTGGCACATGTGTGCGTGAAAATTGCGAGGTATTGAATTGTTTGTTTTGATAAAAAAAATTGATTTTTTTGGCGGTCATCAACTATATTTTCTCTCAGGTGTGGCAATTTCTACCCCAAAAGGAGATACACTTTCTTCAAGGCATATCTCTAAACAATTATTCTTTATAATTTTTTATATGGGGTTCAGAGTTTCTTCTGGTTGTATGACCATTCCACGCCACTGTTCCATATATCAAATATTTCTAATAAAATTTAAAATAAACACTATACGTGTTGGTAGGATATAACTTTTACCTTTATTGTCCAATATCTTCATCTTTATTATGTGGAATTTGTCCTCCTCCTCACTCCCTCTCGTTTCTCCTTTTAATAAAATTTAATTAAAAATTCCCATGGCCAGATTTTGTATCTGCTAAGGCAAATTTGTTACATTTTCAAAAAGATTTCAATTTTGTGATAAGATTTTTAAAAACTCAACACGTGCCAATCAGGGCTGTAATTTTAATACATCAAAGGGTTTTTGCTCTACAAAGCATTCCCAGATTTGTATCTATAGAATAAATTAAAATGATTTACATTAATCACAAATTTTACATATATATTTAAAGAATTTATTTGAATATATTTAATTAACAAATTTCGTTTTATTTTTTACAGGTCATACATTCGAGACGTGAAAGTGATGCTGGTACATATTGGTGTCAGGCTAAAAATGAATTTGGTGTGGCGAGATCACGTAATGCTACGCTACAGGTTGCATGTAAGTATTGAGAAATTTATGAAAAACTATAATTAAGAAAAAAATCTGAAATAAAGTAAAATTTTGAAAATGGCGCCCAACGTGGGATTCTCGTGACTGTTCTAAGTAGGTCCATGAATTAATTTGTACTGTAATAATTATTTACATTTTGTTTTTACGATTTAACAAAATTATATCAAAAATAGAGAAGATAACAAATTGGCGCCCAATGTGGGGCCTTAACTGTTTCACTATTATTACACTAAAATTTAATAAAATTTAAACTAAATTTATAATATCTACTATGAATATTAACCTTACATAATCATTATTCGTTAATAATATTTCATAAAGGGAAAATATGTGAAATTGGCGCCCAACGTGAGACTTTAGTTTTCTTAAGCTTATAAATCTCAAATATGATATAATTTAAATATTGAGTAGGAGAAAAATCAAATTTCAAAATATTTTTTGTTATTTTTAAATAATTAGAATTCAATAATGAAACTGGCGCCCAATGTGTGCCCTACTTCGATTTCTTAATAAATTTATGATTTATGAAGCCGATAAATAAAATAATCTATTATTAATTATTTATTGTTATTTTGTACTAAATATTGTTCATTCATGATAATGGCGCCCAACATGTGTCCGATGTTTTTTTTTATTAATTTTTATCTAAAAAAATATTATTTTTTCTCTTATTTTTCAGTCTTACGCGACGAATTCCGTTTGGAGCCACAAAACACGCGTGTTGCTCAGGGTGAAGTTGCTCTCATGGAATGTGGACCACCACGCGGATCGCCGGAACCACAAGTTACCTGGCGTAAAAATGGTCAGACACTCAATCTAAATGGCAATAAACGTATTCGGATTGTTGATGGTGGCAACTTGGCCATACAAGATGTACGTCAGTCGGATGATGGACGTTATCAGTGTGTTGTGAAAAATGTTGTCGGCACCCGAGAATCAAGTACAGCTTTTCTTAAAGTACACAGTAAGTAACGGTCCAACCTTTTTATGACATTCTTTTTGTTACATTTGTTTTATTTCAATTTGATTTGTACTAATTTTTCATTTCTGTTTTTTTCGTATTTTTCTTCCTCTAATCCAGCTCGACCATTTTTAATACGCGGTCCCCAAAATCAAACATCTGTTGTGGGTACATCGGTTATATTCCAATGCCGCATTGGTGGTGATCCATTGCCGGATGTCCTGTGGCGTCGCACAGCCTCGGGTGGTAACATGCCTCTACGTAAGTTTGTGTTTTATTACAGTTATACAAATATACATGTGTGTATGTTTGCTGGGCAAACTAGTCTAGAACCAAGCAAACAACGGATTTCCTTTTAGCTACCTGTGTTGTGTAATGCATTTGTGTATTTGATTTAAACGAGTATATGTGTGTGTTTATTTCGTGTCGAGGGAAAAGGCTGTTTATCTCAGTTTGCAAGAGAAAATTTGTCGTTTGTCCTTTTTCGAAAAACAAAAAAACCCCAGTATTTGGTTTTATGTTGATATTTTTCAAACGGTTTCCACAGTTTTTGTTTGTTTGTCTGTTGACATTTTTACCGCTACAATAATTTTTATGTGAATTCGTCCCCCAATCTCTATACACATACACTACTTTCCTCCTTCTCCTACTATTTTTGTTAGTAAACGATTGTGGTCGCTCTTTGTTTGTTTAACCCTTCTCTGATTGTCAATTAGCCGGAAACCACATAACACAGTAAGCGGTCATCTATGATACCTGCAGCATACATTTTCTAAAACAAGGGAACTCACTGTTTCGTAGATGGAGAAAGAAGTTTCTCCCCCAATCCCCAAATAAAATTTTTAGATGTTATGTTATTTTAGCTCTTCACTTTATGTGTTACCGCTTCAATTTGAGAAGTTTGTTAGTTTTAGTTTGATTTTTCTAAATGAAAATTACTTTTTGGGGTTACCAAAAACTGAATTTTCTACAAAAAGGGGGGAGGTAATGAGCATATATGGACCATAACGTCTCTCTGTGTGTAGTTATGTGTGTGAACCTGTTTTGGCATTTGCCAAAATTTGTGGTTTTCCTTTTAGGTATTTTTCATTTGCAATGTTTACCAGAGAGTTATATTGAGTCGTCGTATATGACGTATAATATTTAGAATGTGGTTTTCCTACTCATTGCAATGTTGGTTGGGTTTCCCCTCTCTCCCTCTCAGGTTAATGGAAATCAAATTAATTAAGCCAATCTAATTGTTCTGTGGTTTTTCGAGAGCAGGCAAAATATGAAAATTCCAATTTAAAAGAATTTGGGAGAAAATCCAATGATTTTTGTTGTAAAATGAGAGTTTATAATGAAATTGGCGCCCAACGTGGGTCAGGGAATTTCAACCAAAGAATATTCTTTAAAGATCTTTTGGGAAAATCAAGCTATAATCAATTTATTTTTGTGTTGTAAAGCACTGAAGTTCTTCCCAAAATAGCTAAAAAACATAAAATGGCGCCCAATGTGGGGTCAAGTGACATTTTTCAAAAAATTTTGAAAACTCAAAAGTCTATCTGTCATGTATAAACCTTAAAAGAAAATTAGTTCATTTCAGTTATTTATGCTTTATAATCCCCTGAATATGTTCAGGAATTTAAAATGGCGCCCAATATGGGTTCCTCAAAGTTTTTAAAATTGAGTTTAATTAAAATTAAAATTTATATCATATTAATATGAAATCAAGATATATGTATTTTCGCTACCTGTACATCAAAGTCTTTTCATATAACACCACAAATAAAAATTGGCGCCCAACTTGGGGTTCTTGCATTTTTTCAAGTATTAAATATGTACAACCAATTGCTTACGCTTGCAATAACATGACAATAATTGTGTGTATGTTTTATATTTCAATCATTAAAATTCTCTTTAAATTGAAGATGGCGCCCAACGTGGGGCCAAGTAGTTTCTCGTGTTTTCTTACTTTACTTATTTTTTTCGTTTTAATCTTAGGTCGTGTCACTGTCTTGGAAGATCGCAGCTTGAAATTGGACGACATTACCCTGGAAGATATGGGTGAATATACCTGCGAAGCAGATAATGCTGTGGGTTCTATTACTGCCACTGGTACCCTGATTGTGCATGGTAAGTTTTCAGCTTAAAAATTTCTCCCTATAAATTACTAAATATTTTCTCCTCCCCCTTTACAGCTCCTCCCAAATTCACCATTCGTCCCAAAAATCAATTGGTCGAAGTGGGTGATGAAGTTCTGTTTGAGTGCCAGGCCACGGGTTATCCCAAACCCACTGTGTATTGGTCAATTGAGGGTAATAGCTCGCTACTCTTCCCTGGCTACAAAGATTCTCGTTTAGAGGTTACAGTGACACCCGAAGGCCGCTCCGTGTTGTCGATTTTCCGTTTTGCCCGTGAAGATAGTGGTAAGGTGGTGGTGTGTAATGCACTTAATGCCGTTGGCAGTGTTAGCAGCCGTACTGTGGTGACTGTGGATACCCAATTCGATCTTCCACCACCAGTTATTGAACAAGGTCCAGTGAATCAAACCTTGCCAGTTAAGTCAATTGTTACCCTACCCTGTCGTACCTTGGGTTCACCCATACCTCAAGTGCAATGGTATTTGAACGGCATACCGATTGATGTTATGGATCATGAGCGTCGTAATATGTCCGATTCGGGATCGCTGACTATTGTCGACTTGGTGAAAAGTGAAGATGAAGGCCTTTACACCTGTGTGGCCAGTAATCGTAATGGCAAATCTTCATGGAGTGGTTATTTGCGTTTAGATTCACCCACAAATCCAAATATTAAATTCTTTAGAGCGCCTGAGTTGTCGGCCCATCCCGGACCACCAGGTAAACCTCAAGTGGTTGATAAGACAGAAGATTCAATTAGTTTGTCATGGACACGTAGCAATAAGGTGGGTGCCTCCAGCCTTGTCGGTTATGTTGTGGAAATGTTTGCCAAAAATGAAACGGATGGTTGGACACAAGTGGCCAGTCGTGTACAGAATACAACTTATACACAAGTGGGTTTGTTGCCGGGCATTAATTATTTCTTTTTGATAAGAGCAGAGAATTCACATGGCCTGTCATTGCCCTCACCCATGTCCGAGGCAATTGTGGTGGGAACGGTAAGTTTTGGAGATTTGAGATTTCTTTATTAATTTCTAATGTATGTTTGTTTATGTATGTGTGTCTTTTAGAAATACTTCAATAGCGGTTTGGATTTGAGTGAAGCTCGTGCCAGTCTATTATCCGGTGATGTTATAGAACTTATCAATGCCAGTGTTGTGGATTCGACCAGTATGAAATTATCTTGGCAGGTTAGTAAACCAAAACTTGACTTTTGTCTATTGCCAAAAGGAAATTAAACAAAGTTTTCCTTTTGTTGTTGTTGTAATAGTAATATTCGTAATATATTCGAAAATTCATTTCCTTATTATTTTATTGTTGTTGTTTTTGTCTTCTTCTCCAGATCATCAATGGCAAATATGTTGAAGGTTTCTATATTTACGCACGTCAACTTTTGGATACATCGGTTGGTTCATCCACAAATACAAATCCATTAGTAGCTGCCGCACGTAGCAGCAGCAGCAATTCGCGTTCCTCAACATCAGCAGCCTCTTCATCGGCATTGATTTCAGCATCAAAACCAAATATTGCCAGACGTGATGGTACAGCTTATGTGGTAGCCTCGACCACCCCATCCACAGTTATACAATCGGCAGCAGCCTATGTTGGCAGTACAACATATCGTATGTTGACCATATTGAATGGCGGTGGTGCGTCATCGTGTACCATGACCGGTCTATTGCAATATACGTTATATGAATTTTTCATTGTACCCTTTTATAAGTCTGTCGAGGGTAAACCATCAAATTCACGTGTCGCTCGAACTTTGGAAGATGGTAAGTACAGAATCATTTTTGTTTTATTATTATTTTTGGCAAACAAAAAATTTGCTGGCATGTTTCCCCAAGGTTTTCCGTGATAGTCGGAGGGGATTTCAATATTTATTGTGGTATTATTTTAAAAGAATTTTCTTGTGGGTATGAAATAAATCAAATTTATTCTTTATCAAAAGGGGAAATATTTTTTTGAAGATTTTTAATAAAATAAAATTTGCAATTTAATATTTAAACCAGGTCTGGGTGGCTGAAATCACATATGAGTTTGCGTGGAAAGCGATTTCAACAATATCCAAGCATTTGCACCTAATAATCCACATATGGAAATGTTCTCAATAATATCCAAGCGCATGGACCTAGAAGTCCAGAGGAAAAGCCTTGAAATAGTTGATCGTATATCCCAGAATTTACTTTCTTTAAGAAAAAAATAAGAATATGAGTCACCTGTTTTGTAGTTTTTACTTTTGGAGTTTTGAGCTTGAGCACTTGAATCCATGAGCCCCCAAAGTTAAAGTCCTTAGCCCCTCTTAAAATTATTTTTCCCAATTGAAAAAAAAAACAATTTTTTAAATCTCTTCTTCTTCTTCTTACGTAAATTTCTTTAACAAAAAAAATGCGTTCTCCAAGTTTCTCTAAAGTTCTTGTGTTAATAATTTGCCATACTTTAAGTAATGTCTGAAACCATTATTAGCCCCTTACCCCTTCTCTCTACCTCTATGGCCTTTGAAAGTAACCCTTTTTTGCTTTGGTACATTACTACCCAGTTAATTCAATGAAAGAGATGGAGAAAAACTTTTCCAAGTTTTTCTTACGGATGTTATGTGGCAGAGAACCCTTTTTCCGCATCAATAAATATTTAATCGGAAAATTATACATACTTTTAGGATGGCAGCAAAACAGCTGATGATTGTTAGATAAACAAAAACAAAAATGTAAATATTTGATGAACTTGGAAAACCCTTTATGAAACGAACATTTAGCTTGAGGAAAAATAGTGTATTTAAGGCTGATTGTAATTTGGCGCCCAATGTGAAAATTGCCTGAACGGAATATTTAAAGGAATTTTTTCATATTTTAATTTTTTATTTGCTTTTTTTTCAAATTGGCGCCCAACGTGTAGTAAATATCCAACATATTCTTTATATTACAACCCCTTATAAATTCTTTCGGTGTCTTGACTTAATTTAAATCAATTTTCCTTCTTATCTAAAAAAGAAAACTTGTCTACTCATGGAATTCCATGAATTTCCCATAGCATATTTAATTAACCCTTATTTATCCATGCACACACACACATTCATTGGGGAAACCCCTGCTTTTACTCTTTGACATTTAGATAAGGAAAAAACTTTTTAATGCGTTTCTGATAAAAAAGAAAAATACCAACTTTTTTGTAGCATACAAAGACAAGAAACCCAATGAAGTTGCAAGAATAGAAAAAAAAAACACAAAAAGAAAACTTTTTTTCTATTTGCCTATCTCAAGGCAAAAGCAAAGCAAGCAAATGAGAGATGAACTTTTGCCATTTTTTTATTTCAAACAATCATAGACTGATTACTTTAAATAACCACAAAAACTTCCGGCTTTTATTTATGATTTGTATACTGTCGTCATATCCCCATGGTTTCCGTTATTTATACCCCTTTTTGGCAGACAAAAAAACGCATATATGTGAGGTACCCCCTTCCAGCATACTCACACACTCACTGAGAGTAAATAAAGCATAAACAAATACGCACTTAAGCACAGCCACCAAAGATAGCAGCAGCAAAAACACATACCTACTCAAACACAGGGTATCTACGTTATGTTTACAATACGCACATATATGTAAATGTATGCGTATTTTTTCGCATGTGTGTGTATGTAAATGTATGGTAACAAAATATCAGGCCAACAGAAATCTAGAAAAAGTTACAAAAAATCATTTTACCACTCTCTTTTCTAAATGTTCTTCTAATGGAAAAAGAAGAAAAAAGAAAAATGCAGGGTAAACACCAACAACAACAGTATCTTTATTTGTTTATTTATAAGCTTTTCTTCCATCAACTCTGGTTGTTGTTGTTGCTACAAAAAATGCTGATGTATGCCAAGTTTTATGATGGAAAAAGCCACCTCATCATCAACATTACAGCTCTCTGCAAATCATTATTGAATGAGATGAGTTTTGCGAATGTTGACAATAAGACCAACATGCAATTGTTGTTGTTGTTTCTGCTGTTGTTTTTTGTTCTTTCTTCTTATTGTTGTTTTGTGTTACAAAAAAACACTTTAACTCATTCGCAGTTTGTGGATGGGGCGCGAAAACTTTATACAAGTAACTCAAAGTTGAGAATGGCGCCCAACAGTGGAACTAACAGAGATGGGAAATCAAGTATTTTCTCCTAGATTTTTAAATATTCGACTCGAAAAACAAATAATAGAGGTGTGTAGAATGGCGCCCAATAGTAGGCCCGACGATATGTGGAATCAAGAGTCTTCTCGTAGACATTTATACGTTTGGCGCCCAACTGAAACTCTATTAAAGATGGGACTTTAAAAATATATTTTAGTTTGATTGATTTTTCTTGAATATGTCTTTGAGGCTGTCACACTTAAATACAATACAATAGTTCTGGTACCAGCTGCGAAAATAATATTTAAAACCGTAAAACTTAAACTTATTCGCTTTATACAAAAATATTAAAAGAATGGCGCCCAACATTAGGCCTAGCTGACTTATATATTTATTAATCTTCGATTAGGTGAACATTTCCAGACGATTTGTTTATGAGTATTTTCCTGAACTGAAAATTCAGATTGAAATCCAACTTAAACGTGGCGCCCAATTTCGGAATAATTTACTTCAATCAAAACTTGTGTTCGTTAGAACTGCCAACTAGAAACGCGATCCCAGTTGTGAAGTTGGCAATACGAAAATTAGCATAGATAGACACCCTTCTAAAAACCTACTTATGCATTATTTTCAATTGACGGCAGATGGCTCTCTCACTTTCACGGATAAGGTTGGCATTGTATAGAATGGCGCCCAACAGCCGGCCTGTATAGAGTCTTGCATTAGCTGAACATTTCCAATCGAAATACACATTTCAGGAATATTTCGATGAACAGAAAACTCAGAAGGAAATTCAATTCATTCAAAGTGGCGTCCAATACATATCATATTTGTTTCAGCTAAAAATTATTTTCTTTTAAATTGCCAACTGGAAACACGATCCATTTAATGAAGTTGGTAACACAAACAGTAGCAAAGACCAACACCCTTCGTTAAATACTTATATAAATTGTTTTCAAGTGACGATAGATGGCTCTTTCACTTTTAGCGATTTCAAAAGTTACCCTTAGAAATTTCCATCCCTGATTTTAGTACTACCCTTTTTCTACGATTGTTGTGCCTGTGTATGTGTACACATTTCGTCTAACTACAATAAAGTAATTTTCCTTGGATAAACATAGAATAAGTGTACCTCTCCGCCAATGTATTTGTGTGTATGTGTGTCGTGGTGCATTCTCACTACAGTTACATTTAGAGTTTTTATTTTGCGACCAGGCAGGGGGAAAGTGGTTAGGATTCGCCATGAGAAATACGCACACACACTACCATACATACATATATACGTAAGCCACACACACTCAGCGGCAGCAGCCATCGAGGCCTTACATGATTGTGGAAAGCTTGTATGAAACATAATATTTGTACCTTGGCGTTATTGTAGTTGTTGTGAGCATTGTATCCACTTGTTTTTCTATCCTGCTACTCGAGTATATTATGCTGTTGTTGTATGTGTTGTTGGCTGGCACCGTTTTATTTTGATTGCTTTGTTAGTAAGCAGGTTTTTTATAAGATGAGGTTTTATCCTTTCATTTTTTGTTGCAAGGACCTTGGTATAATTTTGAGAATGTAATGGGGAGAGGATATATTAAATCAGGTAAAATTTAATGGGAAATTGGTCCTTCAGAATGGATTACTACCCATTATCCTTGATGTTATACTGAATTTTGAGGATTTGTTTTAGATGCCCATTCCTTGACATGAAAAAATTATTATATTTAATTTTCATGATTTATTGGAGATGGGAGGGAGGCCATAAAGGTATCGGTATGGAGACTGTCTTTCCAGTTAAGGAAAAATCGATCCTTGAGACTAGTTTTGAAAGTGAATATTTTGACATTTTTAAAATCGCTCTTTTATCCTTGTATTGTTCCATGCACCTATTTTATTTCCATTGCAAATTAATACTTGAAAAATTCTCGAAGATTCAAAATTTGTTAAAAAATTGGGTCCTTGAGGTTTTATTTTTAAATCCTTCCTTTAGATTTTTTTTATTCCAAATCTCCATGTGCATGCATTGTTGTTTGTTTTATGTTTTGTAATTTTCCACCAAGCACGGATCCTTATTTTGCTTTAGGTGATTTACAATTACCTTGTCTCACATTTTGCATTAAGCTGCAACGTGCTAAAGGACCATTGTCACAAACCCAAAAAGGAGAGCTGGGGAGAGACTCACAATCACAGAAGGACATTCATACAAATAGGCAAAAGAAAGAAAAATCCAAACAAAAAGGCTTTATACCTAGGCCATGATGCAGAGAAAAAAGGACTAAGAAAAGGATTTTCTGGTGTTTGGTTTTTGTTGCTGTTGCTATTTAAATTGCATACAAATTGCAGCACGTAACAGCAGTTGACAGTAAATGTTACGTGGAAACAGTAAAGGAGATTTTTTTCATACAAAAAATGAGAAAAAAAATCAAAAACACATATCCTTGCACATGGATTATTGAGCAAGAGCCCTTCCACATACCTAAGAAAACAAACATTGCAATTCCAGGCTGACTGCCAACCTGCAGTTAACGTGTAGGAGTGTGTGTGTGCTTGGCCCCTACTTCCAAACTCCCTTACATCCTTGGCTCGTAATATAAATGTGACTTTTTGCAAATGTAAACAATTTTTGTGGTTGCATTTCCGTTTCCCTTTGCCGCACACACATTGCCTAGCTTTAGGCTTAATTTTAGGGTTTCACCCAGGTGATGTGATGTTTTCATTTCTTTTTTTGTGACAGCAAAACAACAACAACAAAAAACTTCATCTCTGCAATAATAAAAACATTTCATGGATGAAAGCATTTTTGTATTTAAAAATTCAACAAAGATGATGGAGACGACGGACAGGTGACAATTGTATGCCTACAATAATTGTTGTTTATTTTTGTATGGTTACAAAAACAACAACAACATCACTACAATAGAAAACAATTCCAACATAAGATCCTTGACAGAGATTTCAATGTTTATATGTGGGAAAGGACAAACCTTAGAAAAATATGATATAAAGGGAAAAGGGAAAACAAAGCCTAAACGTAAGCCATTAAATTACAGGCCTAAAAGTATGCAACACAAATTGTAAAATTTTGCATGCATGCAATTTTTCTCGTTTTTTACCTTGACTGGAATGTCATGGAATTTGTTAATTGTGCTGGGATTTCGTTTTCACACAATATTTTATGACGGGAGGGGTTAGCCTTCAAGGATTCGGGGTGCAGAATATTCATGCTTAAGGTATTTTTTTTCTGGAATATTTAAGGGAGAGGTAGTACTCTTTTTTAATATTCCGTTAAAGTCAGGAAAAATGCATTTTGGATTGGAAATTCCGATCTTTATTAAAAGTTCTTTGATTATAGATGCAACTTTTGGGAATCTTTTGTAACAGTCAGAAGATAATATGAAAGGCGTTATTTCTGAGGCCTGAAGATATGCAACACTGAATGATGAATGCCTATATTAGATGCATTAATACTGCGGCCTGAAAGTATGCAACACCGAATGATGAATGCCTATATTAGGTGCACCAATGTGGTGTAGGGTATCATATAATCTTCGACTTTCGTTTTTGATCTTTTCCTTACCGAATTTTTTTTCTTTATTTTCATATTATATTCCTATTCGTTCCTTATAATATTAATTTAATTACCATAATCCCCCAATAATTACATGCCAGCATATTTTCTACATTCATTACCTTTTTGTTGTTGTATTAAAAAAAATCATGCAAAATAATTTTCTCATTATGCTTATTCTTCTCAACAATATTTTCCATTCTTTGGTTGTTGTTACAGTACCCAATGAAGCACCATTTGGCATGGAAGCCATATTGTTGAATTCATCGGCTGTGTTCTTGAAATGGAAGCAACCAAATCTTAAGGCTCAACATGGTAAGTAGCACGCAACCAAATAAAAACACACATGTGTGTGTGGGAATATTAACAAGGAAGCTGAACCAAAAAAAGGATCCACAACCTGATGCTGTTGGTCCTTTTTTATAGATCCCTTCCTAAGCTAATCTCTTTTTAAATGCCATTGTTATTAAATATATTTTCCTGTTTTTTTCTTTTCTTTTTTTTACACATTTTGTTGTTGGCACCTCATTAGGCGTATTGTTGTACTATCACATTGTTGTGCGTGGCATTGATACGGCCCATAATTTCTCACGTATCCTAACAAATGTCACAATTGATGCTGCCTCACCCACTTTGGTATTGGCCAATTTAACCGAAGGTGTCATGTATACGGTTAGTGTGGCAGCTGGTAATAATGCTGGCATTGGTCCCTATTGTTCACCGGCCACATTGAGATTGGATCCCATTACCAAGAGATTAGATCCATTCATAAATCAACGGTAAGTTATAAAGAAAGTTTTTTGGTATTTAAATATATATTCCCTCTCCTCTAAAAAAATTTTTTGGAGGGAGGGTGTTTATATTAAAATACCCCAAAAAATATGATATATGACCTTCCCATTTCCCATACTTGTTTGCATAATGTGTTCTATATTCATATTTTTTATTTTTTTCTTTCTTCTTTTCTTTATATAGCTATCCCATAAATCAAGATCATGTCGATGATGTATTAACTCAACCATGGTTTATTATATTATTGGGTGCCATATTGGCCATAATGATGTTATCCTTTGGTGCCATGGTCTTTGTCAAGCGTAAACACATGATGATGAAACAATCTGCCTTAAATACCATACGAGGTAAGTGCACAGAAAAAAATCGAAATACCCCTTTTTAAAGTTCTGCGAAGTTTAAATTGTTTGGTTCCTTTAAAGAAAAAAAAAACTTTGTTCTATTTGGGGAAGGGTCAGCAACGTACACAGGATTTCATTTCGGGGGGCCCGGTAGTACAAAATGAAAAAAATCGCTGTTGCAAACATAAATTTACTGTGAAAAAAAAAATCATTTCTCCCCCCCCCCCCCCCTGTGTACGTCCCTGGGAAGGGTGGTAGGTCAGCAAGCCATATTGTATTGAAGTTTTGGGGTTTTCTGTTAGCTCAGCATTATTTTACAAAAATTTTCCACAAGCTCTGTTGTAAGGTAGATGAGTTAACGAGTTGGAGTTTTTTGTTAAATGTTGTCTGATTTCCCGCCAAGGAAATAAAAGTGGTTGGTGGGGGGAAAAACCACTTGAATACAATTGTTAAACCGTCAGGTGTAAAATAAAACTTTCACAGTTATTTTATATGTACTTCGAGAGGTTATTTTTATTTTTTTTTAATTGTTTGTTGCTTTTTTTCCTTTTGAAGTTGAAATACTAAAAGGAAAATTAGTTTAAAGACCAAATAAAAAATATTTTAAAATGCAAAATATATATTCATTATACATATAGAGCTACTTAAATTAGACAATTATTTTTATTTATAAATATTTCATTTTTTTTAATTTATTTTTTAATTCTTATTTTTTTTTATTAAAAGAGGATTCTTTTTCCTTCAAACAATTAATCGGAACATCTGGGCGTATAATTATTATTAATAGCATTTCCCCATAGGCGTATGATTTACAATAATTACTGGAACCTGTGGCGTATACTTACCTTTTTTGTTTCTGTTTGTGTGTCGCCCTATAGGCGTATGATTTATAATAATTATTGGAACTAGTAGCGTATACTTAACATTACATTTAAATTTTTATCTGTATTCTAGTCCTCTTCCCCTACCCTTTCACTTCAGTTTTCATTTCGTTTAATCACAGTATTTTTAATTGCCGAAACAAATCTTCATTTTGTATTATATGTCAACTGGTATTGTCTGGCCAACCAATCATTGGTGTTTTTTCCCAGGCACTATTTAACGGCTCTGGCATCAAAACAATATGCCTAGTCATTTTTATTTTCTTTCACATTCATTTTCATCCATAGTTTTTGTTTCTGTGTCCTCTTTTTTGTGAGTTAATCTCTCTGAATAGTTATAAATTGAAGTTTTAATTTGCAAGCCTGAGTTTTTTTCTGTTCCTCAAATCAGAAATAAAATTTTATGAGCAAATGCGGAATAGCTGCTGCTGCCACTGGTCTACATTGATTTTAGTTTTTTTTTTTGTTCTTCCAATTGCTGTCATGCTATGTTAATTAACTAAATAGTTAACATGACCATAACATAGAGGACATTTATGTAGACAAGCTTAATGAAAGCTAGCTTTAGTTTTTTTTCTACAGACACATATACGCAGTATACCCTTTAAAAATTGTTCAACAATATGGCTTTAATCCCCAAATGAGACATTTCAAGTTTTTTTTTTTGTTTTCGTTTTAGTTAAAGTAGAAAAAGTTTTTAATTTTGTCAATCTGTTCAGTTTTTTGTAAAGTGGATTTTTACGAAATAACAATTTTTTATCCTCTCCTATTTTTATAGGTACCCATCCCAATGATGTTTTAAAAATGCCAAGTTTATCACGTAATGGCAATGGTTATTGGTTGGATGCTTCCACGGGTGGCATGGTATGGCGCACCCAGCCAAGTGGTGATACACTCGATATGCAAAAGGATCAAATTGATGACTATGCACCGGTATGTCTGACCAACAATACGGCCAATGGAGCAAATAATACCAATGAACGTGTTGGTGGTGGTGGCACTGGCAGTGGACAGCAACGGTATGTATAGCTATAGAATTTTTGTTAAAGTCATCAAAAGGGTAACACACTCTCACATATAGATATACTCAAATATGTGTATGTGTGTGATTATTTGTATTTTTCTATATATATGTGGCAAATTGTGTTTGTATTAGAGTTTTAAAAATTCAAAGCATTTTTGTTAGTTTTCGCTTTTTGTTGTTCGATTTTACTCCGGCTATGTTTTATTTAATCTCTCTCGCGCTTTTATGCTGTCAAAAGAGTGCTAAAAATCGTTAAATGTTTAATTAGAAACAAACATTTGTTTTTATGGCTATACGGGAACGGAGTCCTTGATGTTGATGACAATTTTGGGGAGGAAAAAAAGAACACACACACACCAAAACAAATATTTGCATTTAACAAAAATAGAACAATAAAAATTGTGGTTGTAACAACTTTATTGTTGTTTTTGTTTTTTGATGGGAATTTATTATTGAATTGATCAGAAAAAAAAAATGGAAATTGAAATAAATAAATATTTTTTTCTTTGTGTTGAAAATCAAATAAATGTTTTCATTTTCTAAATCTAAGCAAAATGATATTTAAATAAATATATAGATTTTATTATATATTTAGTTAGGATAAAAACATTCAATTTGATTAAAATATTATATGTATAGCTTATTTTGATAAATAAATATATAATCAAATATAAATATTGAATGAAATTGAATAGATTTGTTTTTTAGTTATTGGAGCCTATGATTATTATTAATAGAAAATGCCGGGGTCGTATGATAAATATTAAATAACATACCAGGTGGCGTATGATAAATGTTTAAAAAGGTCCATTGTGAGGTATTTTTGGATAAGGAGTTTAGGGTTTACTTTTTTCGAAAATCTGAGGAATATACAAGTTTGTTTTACTGTTCAGGAAAAGGTTTAGGGACATTCACTTCTTTTCATACAAATTTTCCTGGACTAAAATTTTTTTGAACGGTTTAGATTTAAAATAAATTTCAGACCTTAATTTCTGGATATAATTTTCGTAGATGTTCAGAGAAAATACGATCACTTTTATTATATGAGATATTTTCGACTTAGACCATGTTGCGTATAATTATTATTAACTCAAGGCCTCCATAGCGTATGATTAATATTAATTTTAATAATACCAAGTGGCGTATGACTATTTTTAATTGTCTCAAAATATTTTCAATTAATATTTCTTTTTTTAGTTTATTTTTTTCAATTCAAAAACTACAAATTGAATTTTTATAAACACCAATTTATCGCACCAAATAACCTTTCACTTTCAATTTAGCTACTCGCACACACACATACACAAACATAATTTTATTTGACACAAAAATTGTACAAACATGACAGTTTTATTTATTTCAATTTGGGCAAATCTTAATCTGAATGAATGATTTTCAATATTTTATTTGTACATGTTTGTGTATTTGCACATGGGAAATTATTGCGAGTAAACTTCAATCATAATTATGTACGTTTTTAATTAATAATAATATGAGTAAAACATGTTATGTACAATTCATTTGTGGCAATAATTACTGTGTAATTTGTGCTAGTTTTAAATCAAACACAGACACACTCAAACGTGTAAAAGTTATTAAATATTATAGAGTTGACAGAGGAGATTTAAAAAAATGTTTTATGAGTATAGGGATGGAGAAAAGTGTAAATAATTAAATAAAATATTATTTTTTTATTCCCAACAAAATAATTAAAAATAAACTAAAATACAAAGAATTTAGCTGTGAACTCATCTACATATAATTAATAAATTAGTTATACGTCAGGGAGGTCTTTGGAATTAATAGCAGTCATACGCACCCATATCTTCAAAATTTTATGAGTATACAGACGACAAAAGAGACATATAAATAATGTTTTAAAATAAATCAAACCAAGTTAAAATTAATTATGCAATGAGCAATAAATTACACATACGCTATGGAGTCATTCGAATTAATATTAGTCATACGCAACCATGTACTTTTATACAAAAACATATAGAAATTAATTTATTTGCAATAAAAATTAAAAAAAAAAATAATTTTTTGAATTTCACTCCTCCCTAGTAAACTCATTTCCTATTATTATTTTTTTCATAAAAATTACTAACTATAACATTTAATTCAGTAATTATTTTTCATAATGATTATTGTAATGGCAAATGGATGAGTACATACCCTTTCCACTCAGACATTATTGCAAGCAATTGTAATTTCCTCCCAACCAACCCTATTTTTATATTGATACTGGCTTCATAACTAATTAAAATAACATAAATATTTAAATAATATCCGGGCTATGGCAAACAAACAAATTCAGGAGGGAAGAGAGAGAGAGTGAAAGAGAATGACAGCAAAATAAAAATACTATTTATTCCAACGGTTAGCATCAGCTTTAAATGATTTCCTGTGCAACTCAAACACAAAAAATAAGCCACTGCATATATTGGATGGACTTAATTGCATATAAAAACAAATGATTATTAAAAAAATAATAGATTTTTTTCCTCTCCCCTTTCTTCCCTTAACTCCACTTCTCTCTGATACTCAATTAAACTGATTAATATAAAAATTCAGTTATAAATTTCATTTAAAGCTTATTGAATATTAAATAAATTTATTTTTGATTTTTAAAGCAATTTCAGCTGAATTTTTTTTCTACATATACCACAGAAAAAAATTATACACATATATTTTAATTGTGTTTATTTAAAACTCTATTGTTTTGTAACATTTTACATAAAATATATAAAGCGACCTAATGGGCTTTTAAATCCCCTAAGTCATAAATTTTATGCAAACAATGAATATGTTGCAAAAAATATCTGAAACAATGGTAGCAACAATAAATATTGATAACAATATTTAAAAAAAGTGTAACAAATATCATAAATTTACAACAATAACAATGATGGTCAAAATGGTATTATTTGAGAAAACAAAAGAGGTTTTATAGTTTGAATTAAATTAATAATAATATTATTAAAATATATATTTATGGGGGATAACGTGTGAACTATTTAATGGCTATTGCTAGAATAAATTTTTAAATATTTTGAAATTTTAAATGTATTATTTGTACTAGAAAAAACTATATTTCCTACTCTGGCTTTAAACGTATAACTTATATACTCCACTATAATGCTCATACGCAATAATGTCCATTGAATTAAAATTAGTTATACGCCCCATATTCCATTGAAGAAGAAAATCATTTAAAATTGGTTTTAATTATTTGAATTAAAATATAATTATTTTTCTGGAAAATATTCTTAGCACTTTTATTTTCTCTTCAAATAAATAAAATATAAATTCTTATCTAATTAAATAACTCATCCATCCCCTTGCTTCCATGTGCTAATGATAGATTTTCTTCTATAAAGAAATTCCCTCATTAATTCCCTAAATATTTATATTACAAAATAATTGCTAACATTTAAATTTCTATTATCCCGTCTCCCTTCTTCCCCCTTTTATACACATAAATAAATTAAATGTTCTAATTAAATTACTTATAGGCTCTACTGGCCTTCGCCCTGTATTAATTATTATCAATCATCCGACCCATTGTTCTCTCTCTCACTGGATATTCAATCAGCCATAAATAATTTCTAAAAGAAATCTCTCTAATCAGATTAGGATTATGCGAATTTTTTTCACCGTTATTTAAATTTCAATACGCGACTAATCTTCAATTATAATAAAATGCTTTAATTAAGGCAAAATCAAATTAAATTTTATTTATTCGGGAAAAAAATAAATAAATCATTGCAATAAAAAAAAATATTTATATTTTCAAAATAATCCAGGCTTTTGTGGCAAATGATGAAGAAGAAAAAATAGTAATATCTTTTTATTTGTGCCAAAAAAATATATAACTAAAACTTTAAGCGGCTTATAAAAACATGCACATAACGACCATAAATTGTCACAGCAAAGTGAGCGAGAGAGAGAGAGAGAGACAGACAGAACAATAAAACACAATTCGCCAATAAAAATATATAAATGTGTAGAAATAAATCTCTTACAATAAATATATCATACAATACTAGAATTTTTTCCTAACAATGTTTTTCTCTGCTTTTCCCGCCCCTCTCTTTACAGCTATGTAGGTGAGTATTCCAATATACCCACTGATTATGCTGAGGTAACAAGTTTTGGCAAAACAGGCAGTGAATATAGTGTGGGACGTAAAAATGCCTCATCGCCAGCCCCCTATGCCACATCGTCCATAGTCCAACAGCAGCAGCAGCAACAACAACAACCCAGATATCATACCCGGCCAGGAGGTTTCAATGTGCAACAACAACAACAGCAACAAATGGCCAACAATCAACAACAAAGGCCCATGCATCCCCACTACCAACAGCAGCAACAACAACAGCAGGTCGGTAACAATATCTACCAACAAATGTCCACAACCAGTGAAATCTACCCCACACAAATGGCCAGCAATCGTTCCGCCTATTCCGATCAATATTATTATCCCAAAGAAAAGATACACATTACCGAAAATAAGCTAAGCAATTGTCATACCTATGACACGGCCAACAACCAGCAGCAGCAACAACAACAACACCAACCACAACAATCTACAGTGGCTTTCTCGAACATGGGTACCCTAAGACGTAGTGGCAATCAACAACATAGCCAGAGATTCAAGGTCATTAACACTGCACCCCAAAACTATCAGCTACATATGGCCGATAATGGACAACACCAAAAGCAGCAACAACAACAAATGAAAATGAACTCCCTTAACAACAATCAAAATTGCATTGGCAACCCTTCGGACTACAATACCCAAGATATGATAACGAAAAATCTCATGGATTTAGATGCTGGATCCTTCTGTTACAATGGCATGGCTGATTCTGGTTGTGGTGGTTCACCCTCACCCATGGCCATGTTAATGTCTCACGATGATGAAAATCCGGAGGAACAGGCCCTGTATCACACCGCCGATGGGGATAATGAAAGTGATATGGAACGTTTGTATGTTAAGGTAGATGATACACCACAACAACAACAGCAGCCACAAAAACAACAACTTATTTCGTTGACACCAAGTCATCATCCTGCCTCACAAGAACACCGAGATGTTGCCAATCATGGCGCCTACAACAATTGGCGTTCTCACAATTCCTCAACACGTTCAAATGCTTCGCAATATCGCAATGGTGGTGGTGCGGCAGCAGTCATTGGTGTGGATTCTCAGGCTGGTGGCCATCAACTACAACATCATTTACATCCTTTACATCAACAACAGCCAATTAGTGATTCTGAAATGATTTATGCTCCCAGCAGTAGTATGGCCAGTGAACGTAGTCTATTAAGCAATTCGGGTAGTTCAACATGTGGTGGTGCGGCGGCGGCAGCTGGCAATGGTAGTGGTCAAGCACACAATGTGTGACCTTTGGAAAGACAACAACATAAAGATCAAATAACTAACATTAATCGAACAACAACAACAATAGCAACAACATCGTCTACAACATTACCACTATTAGGTCCTTCAGGAACAGCAATAACAACACCAAACATTATCAACAAACCAATGACATTGAATGGTGGGAGCAGCAGTGGTGGTGCTGGCGGTGTTGTTTCCACCTCATCCTCAAGACACCAGGAAGACTATTATGCCCGAGAAGTTAAAGAGTTATTGGAATGGTGTGAACGTTTCAATAAAGGTTCATTGGATAATTTTGAATGAAATGGAAATGTTGTGGACGATAAAGAGAAGTAGAAGGAGAAGCACCAGCATTATACTTAGCAAGGACCTAATGTTAAGAGCATTTTATTTTACTAAGTTTTTTCTTATGTTAAAGACTGAAATTTTATTATTTTTTTAATTTTATAAAAAATTTTGGAGTAGATTTTTTTTTGGTTTTAAATTCTAAAATTATTATTTTTACCAAAAAATTGACATTTTTTTAAAGCTACCTGACCACACATGAAGAAGATCTTTCAAAAAAACCCTTTAGGAAATAAAGTTGGTTGACATTGTGCCAAGCGGTTTTTAATAAAATAATTATTATATTTTTATTTTTTTAATATGAAAATAATTTAATTTTTTAATATATGTAATTTTTTTTAAAATTTAAATATTTAAAAAAAAATTATTTTTTTAAATAATTACAATATATTTTTAAAAAAATAATTTAAATATTTTTTTTTCAAAAAAAATATATTAAAAAAATAATTTTTTAAAAAAAATTTTTTAAAAATTTATTTATTTTGATAATAATTTAATTAAATTATTAATTAAAAATTTAATTAAATTATTAAAATTAAAAAAAAATTATTTAGTTTTTGAACATAAATTAAATAATTTTTAAAAATTAATAATTTAAAAATTTTGTTTAAAATTTAAAGAATTAATTAAAAAAAATAATTTAAATTATTTTTATAAATTTATAATTTAAATGATTTTCTTAATTAATAATTTAATTATTTTTTTAATTAATAATTTGATAAAATTTTTAATTAAAAAAATTAATAAAATTTTTAAAAAATAAAAAATTAATAAAATTTTTAAAAAAAATTAATTTTTTAATTAAAAAATTTAATAAAATTTTTAATTAAGAAAATCAATTAAATTATAAATTTATAAAAATAATTTAAATTATTTTTTTAATTAATTCTTTAATTTTTAAACGAAGTTTCTAAATTATTACTTTTTAAAAAATTATTTTAATTAATTTTCAAAAATTAAATAATTCATTTTTGTTTGAAAATTGAATATTTATTGAATCAAAGTTATTTTTAAAACATTAAAAAACAATTGGATTTCCTGAAATGTTGCCTCCCTGATGTGTGGCCAGATACCTTTTAAATATTGTTAATTTTTTGTAATTTATTTTCAAATGCCAGTAAATTACCCAAGCCGCAAAAATAGCTTTAAATGTAGTAGTTCAGATAAAATACATTTTTCCTGCAGTTGTCTGGCCACACATTAAAGTGAGTCTTAAAAATTTTTCAATTTTAAAAATTCGGAGACATGAGAAGAATTTGGTTCTTGATTTGATGTGTGGCCAAGTAACTATAACTTTAAGCACGTTCAAGCCTTCAGTAAGTTGAAATCGTAGTCACGAAATTTCAAAACCAAGCAAGCTTTTTCAAACTCCCAATGAAACAACTATTAATCCAAGAGGTCTTTCGAAAGATTTGATACTTCTTTTGTAGGGAGTTTATATTAGAAGTATACTTGCCCTCAATTGAAATTTAATAATTTTCAGTAGACTTCGATTTTTATATTTTCTAGAACGTATGATTAATATTAATTATAAATCAGTTATATAATTTTTATTGATCATACGTTCTATTTTTCTGTTTCGAAGGCCCTTTTAAAAATAGTAATAATTTTGGAAGAAAGTCTTAAAAACTTCGAAATTGATTTTTTCCTTTTCAGAAGAAAGTTTTCATAATTTTTCTATAACGTATGATTAATATTAATTATAAAATATGTTTTAAAAATAATTTTTATTAATCATACGTTCTTGATTGTTGAAGCTTTGATGTTCTTCTCATATTTATATGGGGATTTTTGAAGTCAAATGATAATAGTTTTGCAGAATTGCGATTATATTTTTCTGATTTGACTAAAGCGTATGATTAATATAAATTATTAAGATTAAAAAATAATATCTATTGACCATACGTACTGGTTTCTCATCATCTGATTTTCTGATTTGACTAGAGCGTATGATTAATATAAATTATTAAGATTAAAACATAATTTCTATTGGCCATACGTACTAGTTTCTCATCATTTTTTCCATATTAAACTAAAACATTTTATAAGAATATTATAAAAGAAACTCAGTGTCAACTTTGAAACCGAGAGCGTATGCTTGATATTAACTAATCATGTTGTGATTAATTTCTATCCATCATACGCAATGCAGAACTTTCAATTTTTAACTGAATTTTGTCTGTATAATTTCAAAATAAAATCATTGAAGGCTTGGATAACATTTGCAAATTTCTGGCACTACATTTATCATCTTCCAAAATAAGGCATATTATTTTATCAGCCCAAAAAAAAAACTCTTGAACACCAATTGCTTCCATGGAAGACTTATACTTTATAATTTTTAAAAGAAAAAAATTAAATTTTTTATATTTTCTTAAAATTCCTTAAACTTACCAAAATAAGCAAAACGAAAAACGCTCCAACTGCCAAATTATCAATAACTTACACCACAACAAAAAATACCACCGATACTTTTATTCAGTTTGCATTTTGCTATTCAATACACCCACACAACTCGCCTTATATTTAATGTGTTCTATCTTATTTTCATCTAATATTTACATTTTTATTTTTTAAATAATTTTCCTTTTTAATTGTTTTTAGAACAATTTTCTACAATAGCAAAGATGCCATGTTTTATTTTTTTTTTTTAATTTTTTTTATAATTTAACTTTAACGCAAAAACAAAATATTTATAGATACAACTAATTGTTCCTGACAACAAAAGCACACACTCTCTTGTTCTTAATATTAGTAATTAAAAAAAAACAAAAACAAAATAACTTAAAACACAACCTCTCAAAAAATAGTTACAAATTAAAAAAATAAATACGAAATATCTTAAAATAAAAAAAAAAATAAAAATATATATAAATAACGAAACACAAATACATATATATCTAAGTAATGTGATGTCTTAATAGGTTTATATTTTATTATTAAAAATTAAAAATTAAAAAAAAACTAACAAAACTTTGTAAATAGTAGTTTAGAAAAGAACAAACAAAAATATCATAATAAATAAATTATATGACATATGACAAAACAAATGCAACAATAAACGTAAAATAACCAATAACAAAATTAACAAAAATTATAACTTACTTCCCTTCTCGAAAACAAAACGCCAAACCCCATTATTATTTTATTTTTCTTAATTTACAATAATTATTATTGTAGATTTTCCCTGTAAAATAATTATTTCAATTTTTCATTATTATTTCTCAAAAAAGCCAATCCCATTGTAAAATATATTATATATATAGAATTTAAAAATAAAAACCCTCCCAAAATTATATATCATATAAAAACACATTAGCATAGAAATTCTTAATCTAAAAAAAAACAATATCAACATATAGTTTAATAATTGACCTATATTTAAGTTAACTTTTTTTATTTTTATTATTACTACTTATAATTTAATATATTAAAAAAGAAAACAAAACAAATGAATTTGATAAACAAAACGTAATGTAATTTATAGAATTGTTGTTTATTTACGCTGTAATTATTAATGCCATTTGTTTGTGCGTGGCAAATAAATTGCTTAGGCATTTGCAAGCATTTAATAAATACAGCCGATATTTTTTTGTATTTGAAGTGATTATCGATTAACGATTATTCATAAGAAGCATTAGTAAAAAAAGAACAAAAACGTAAAACAAAAACTAAGATCAACAACAATATATGAAAAAAAAACAAACAAAAATAAATGCCATATTTATGAAAAATTAAAAAAAAAAACTTGGAATGTGTTTTTATTTATTCAGTAACTGGGTGACAGGGAAATGGGGAAAATATATACAGAGTATTCGTACACGAAGCTGATTTTTCGATTATTTTCAAATTTCAATAAGGTTCGTCCTTGGGCAATATAGATGAGCCTTGCCAAATTTTATCGAATTTGGATCATATATGCGACCTGTACTTTGTTTACAATTTAACATGGACAGATAGACGGTCCAAGTTAGACTTTTTAGAGCTGTAGTTTCGTATATCCGTTTCTTGTGGGGTGAACAATATTTTTTCGAAAATTATGAATATAAGCCCAGGTTGTGACAAAGTCCCGCCTCATTTTGTTATTTCGAGGGTTTTAGCCGTGTTATTCGGGATACCATGTTCTTGAAGGGTGATAAATTCCTTCTTTGAAAAAGAACTGCTTCCCAGATAATGTTTTATCGAAGTATTGACCTTAGACACCATGTTTCTTTGATCCAAATCCATTTCAGACAATTTGGAGTTGATTTACAAATATTCGTCTTTCTATCTATTTGGAGCGCACGATAACTCTGGAAGGGAGTAACCGATTTCATCCAAACTTTGCACATCGGAATATTTCTTCCGAACTTAAATCATGTTCGTAGATGGAACCCATCGGACCAATTCCTTCGTGTACCATTCCCACAAGTGTAAACATTTTCAATTTTTAAAACTCCAATATTAACCGAATGGAATGTTCGGGTTTACCCAAACTCTTGTAAATCGTAATATTTTTACCAATTCTAAATAAATTCTAAACCAAGATGGAACCCACCGTACCATATGGTACCTCTCCCACGAAAGGTCAAAATATTGTTAATCCAATAACAATCACATCGAATATCCGATTTGATACAAAATATGCAAATTGTAATATTTCTTTCAAACTGAAATCAAGTTCGAAGATGGGACCCATCGGCCCACACTTATTCTGGTATATTCGGCACAAA